GGTTAGCGGACGAAACTCTTATGCTATACCTTGCTCGTTTCGTGGGTTGTTGACCGGCTTGAGCAGGAATGTTTCCGACGCGTACGCGGAGTCTCCTAATAGGACTCCTCTCAGCTGCCTTCTCTGAAGCTGCCCATATATCGCGGAGGTTTTGAAAACGCGTGAATCGTGGGCGGACCCAGGCCATCTTGAGCAGACCCATCTTATTTTCATTTCGTGATCTACAATTACTCCAACGTTCAGGCTGTGGTACCCCTTCCTACACACATAATCCTCCTCCGCCTCCGTTGGCCTCTGAATACGGCAGAGAGTGCCGTCGATGACACCCACAATACCAGGCAGGCGATATCGCCTGTAGAAGGCCCGTCTTATGTCAGCACTTTCGCGCTCATTCGGCCAATGTATTTTTATTTCCTTTCTGAATTCGACGTCACTCAAAGTGTCGTACGGGCACGTTCTGTCACGGAACGTCCTATGTATGGCAACTTCGGCGTATCGCTCAGCACGTTCCAAACTCTCAATGAGCTCCATTTCGCCTAAATATCAATTGAACAACTTCTTTTCCGCGTCGCGCAAGTTGATATACATGTGTTTCGTGAGTACGCTAATGAAGGAAACAAGTATGAGAGGTATTACAGAAGCGTTAAGCACCGAATTGGTCATCAAAATCAGTTGCCAGTACGCTGTTCGAAAAGTCATCGCCTCCTTCGCTGAACTGATGCGGCTGAATGTACTATATAGCTGCACGCGGCTATACCTTTTCAACGCTTCTGTTCCACCGTACTATCTTGATAGCCGCGGATGGAGATGCTGGCGGTGAAAAGATGCACCCGCACAAAATAGTGTAGATTCAGCCGCATCAGTCCAGCGAAGGAGGCAACCACTGTTTCGAACAGTGAATTAGCAACAGATTGATAATGAATGGGTTATCCAGTCCTTTGCTATAAATGACAGTTACACAAACTTTCTTTCTCGCTCACTGTAGTAGAGTAAGCCTCTTGAATCTACATCCGTGCTGTAGTGCTAAACTGGAGCGCCCCAGTGACAAGAGTTCAAGCGAGCGCACGCGTGAATTTTTCTCAAGGAGAACACCATGGCATGGTTTAGATAGCATCCGTCGCGAACTCACACAACCTATTTCATTATGCTGTATAATATAAGAATTACATTATTATTGTTATTGTATAGTATAATATGTGTATATGTTATTATCGTATACAATATACAATATATATGTTATTAAGATCGAAAAGGAAACGTTCTTGCTGTCCAAAAACCTATAAGAACTTTAATAAAGAATAAATTGTGATCATTTCTGGAATTGTGAAAATGCTATCAGACAAAAGCATAGCATCGACATTCTAAATATTGTAAAAAGTGATGAGATGGGAAAAAAATCACTAGAGTGGTCAAAAGTGTCTCTGTAACATGCAGAAGTAAAGAAAAGTTCAAAACAAATGCGAAATAAGCTAAAAAACTGTTCCAGGGGATGTCTTCCCCAACACTTGTTGTTGGGGGAGCTCTCCCCCTGATTTGGTAGGCGTGGCGTCTCCCCCAAAGCCTTCGGGGGAAGTGTAGCATACGGGGAGGGGACCCCTCCCCTCGAGGGGAAGAATAGCATACGGCCCCTGTTGTTTTCTTCGATATTCTCGGCGTCTTCAACTGTATTCCTACTCTACGCTGCATAATTCTTATTTACTACGTCTGATTATTCTGCTGCTGCTCGCTGTGAGCTATATTCTCGTCTGAACGTCTGATTTTCAAGGACGTTTATTTTCTACTATTATTATTTCTGCTTTCCAATGAAGACATCGTCAACTCAAACGTGAGTTTTTTTTTTTCTCTACTGTGCTTTGCATGCTTATAGCTTTTTTCGATGAGACATTGCTGTTCTTTGATTTATAGTATGCAAGCCCGCATTGAGTATTCTACGGTGCACTTTCGCACCACTATTCTTCTTCAATTTTTTTCTCTTCTTTCTTCATCCTGATATTCGTTTCGAATTCTTCTTTCTCATAATAGTTTGCTAGTACGGGATTGAAGCGGGGTGGAACGTTTGCGATTCCACACGTTTTCACTTTTGTGCTGGCAGTAACGAAAGTTTGCATTTTTTTTCATGACACTGTCTTGAGATATCTTTAATTCCTAGAACATTTTAATAGTAATCACTAATTGGCTACTATTCGCAAACCTGCTACGCACTGTGGGAATTTTGATTGTCTAGTGGTACTTGTCTCGCCTGATCCAGTATGCACGATTTTTTGTGGTCAACTATTACTCCAGTTCATCTTTGTACAACTGTAAGCCTTATTACTACCATGGATATTCCGTTGCTCTAGAAGTACTACAATGAAGAGGCTTTTACGTGTCTTTCTGAAAAGCCGTAACATTTTACAGGGTACGCGGAACCTAAGGAGTGGTTTAAACTATAGAAGCTATGAGGTACATTCATTACTCTCTTATGACCAATTGTGGTTTTTTTGGAATATTCCTCTACCTATTCGTTGTCCTTACGACAATGCCGAATCTGTAAATGATTCACGATCGTCGAAGACCCTTAGCTCGACACTATGTTCCCTGTTACTGCTTCACGTGCAACGGCAAGTCTAGGTTGCTGTCACAATGAATATGCAATTGTGCATCAACCGTGATTTTGCTGGTTCACTAAGCGGAAATGCAGCTCAGCATATGATCGTGTCCTCTTTCGCAATGAGCATCTATGCAGCTCATCATCACATCCACCGTGAATAATTCCCATTAGGACCTGTAAGCAGTCGAAAGATAGATGAATTATCATCACATTAACTACTTCCTTAATTGACAGCCGCCGGTCTCCAGAACGTACCGCGGCTTTCTTGCCAAGTTTTTTTTGACATATTTTAGAACTTTCATCAGCTATAATTTCATATCGGTATCAGTGCAGCTTCTATTCACAGTTACTTTCGAATCTTTTAATTTGTCTTCAAGATATTTGAGGAAATGGATTCGTCGCGTTCCGAGTGCCCGATCTGTCATAAAGAGATGACCAAGTATAATGTCCGTCCTCATTTGCGCACTGTACACAACCTTTCCCCTGGAAGAGCTGGAGAACCTGTGGCGCAGAAGAAAAAGACAGCATTAGATCAGGGAAAGCAAGTGGAGATGTGCAACGAGTGCGGAGCTGCTTTTTCCACGAGAAGAGGATTGACAATACACTTGAACTCCAAGCATCGCGGAACGGTTGATGTTGCTAGGACTGCAGAACAGGAAAGTCGCACTCCAACTTTGAAGTGTTGCCTTTGTGAAGGCGCTTTTAAAACGCAAGAAGAACTCAGTCAGCACTGTGGTAGGGAACACACCGAAGATTCTGAAAGACTGCAAGATTATACAGTGCATAGGATGTCCTTTCTCGAGTTCGGAAGAATACAAGGTCGGCAACATATTTACGATAGATATTCACGAACAAAATCGTTTATTTAGGAATGGTTTGAAAGAATGTGTGAGGTGCACTGCACATCATTTTTCTGCAGATCGAGTGGAGCGAACCAGAAGAAACTGTTTATGAGGTCTGATAATTCATACTTTCTAGGTAGATTCCACGAATACGAATATACAAAAATAAGGCTATAAGTTAGCTATTGTGCAGGTGCAACCGTTGTGGTGAAGGCAGATCTCAGGGTGAACAGCGTATTCGTATAACCAAGAAAGTTCATCCTTATTGCTCTGCTTTTCCGAACGTGCATTTCAATGAAGACGATACTGTTTCCGTGGTAGCATGCTTTGGTCACACTGGGCACGACCTCGATCCGGCCCTACTTCGGTGGGACGATCAAATAGAGTATCTGAAGCTCATGCTACAAGGTAGATTATAACACCACACAAGGACTTAATAACTGCG